ATGATGGACTTTTCTCCTCCACAAACCCCAGGCATAAATGTCTGATGTTTACTAGAAATATTTTCTTTTATACAGTCCTGCGAACTTTCTAGTCTTCCATTACCTTTGAGGGTCTTTCACAATATTCTCTATCACTCAAAATATATTATATTTTCAAGAACTCAGAAGTAAGAGACTAGACCCTTCCCTATCTTTCCATAAAAATGAAAAACTGTTTTTTTCACAGAGCCTTTTCAGGAGCTGCCCAGCCTATCTGTGAGGGCACACACACATTTCCTATTGCCAGAAAGCATCTCTAAACTTGGTAGTGAAATCTTGTTTTTGCAATAAAGCAGCTTGTGTGCAAAGTCTGGTCAAGAAGCCAAACTGCTTTTTTTCTCAGCCTTCACAAGTTAGTTGAAAAAGCTCCTCTATGGGACAGATTTTACCAACCTAAGTCAAGCTTGTTTTTCCTTCTGAAGAAGTGCTAAGATCTTGCTTCTGGGATTAGAAGTGGAAGGCACTGCTACTTTGTGGATACTTTGGGGAACAGATAATCCTCTGGCAAAAGGAATTGGCGTTGTTGGCCCATTTCCCCAATTCTGCAGTTTATTTGTGTTCAGGCATCCCTGAGTCCTTGATTCAGCAAACCTCAGAAAACAACCAATTGTCCCCCAAAGAACTGCAAAACCCAATGCATTTCCATCATGCCACAAAAAAAATTATTCCCATGCTGGGAACAAGTATGTTTGAGAAACCAATACTAGCAAAGAGCTGTTTTCAATAAATAGTTGTGATGACTGACAGATTACAGGCCAGAGTAGTAGCCCCTTTAGCTTTTCTCAGCAAGGACGTACCACATTGCTCACAGGCATTAAAATTGGCCAAATTCCCAAGCTTGATATAAATGCTTGCAAATTAAATAAAAACATTCATGAGCTTTGAAAGGAAAACCAGTGAAAACTGGCACAATAAAATTCTTAGCCCGCCCTGCTGCTCGGACTGCAAAAAGTTTTCTAATCACCTATTCTTTATTAACCAGATCTAGCGAAGGCAGAGAATAAAAAAGTTGCCAAGGAAGATACTTAGCTGACAAAGGTGAAACACAGAGCCAGAGTCTTTGTGTATTGGTTATGCAAAGAAAGAATACATTAAATAAAAAAGAAATCACAAATAACTGTAGGAAGTATCAGCGTTTTGTTTCACATCAGGCCCTCTATTTTCTTCTACATGTTCCTATATAACTTCAGAGATTTATGTAACTATTTGCAGTAGATGATTTATTTGACTTTACTGGGGATTTAGTCATTACTGTAAAGCTATAGCTGAGTGAATATTTGAACATTTATGCATATCTCCAAAGCCAGTGGTGAACAGTTTCACACTTCCTGGGAGGGGAAAGCAGTATTTCAGAGCTTTGACAAAGTATGGGCTCTTGTGATCTGCCAGCAGAGCTCTGGTAAGAGCCTTTGCCATCTCAGCAAGCACCAGGAATGCTAGATTCTAAGCATTTGCCGGATGCCTATTAAGGGTTTTGCAATGACTGGCTACCAAATAAATAGCCACAGGGCACTGGGTTTTTCTTCTTGTCTCAGCTTCACATACATCTGCCAGAACAGCTTCCCAGACAAGGCAGTCATTTAAACCCACCTCTGATTTAATCTAGCCCTCCAGGAACAGGAAAGATCTGGTTCTAATCAGGTAATACTAATATACTTGAATTTGGTAACATCAACCAACATTACAAGCACAGGTTACTTACTAACTGCAACTATGTTTATACTCAATTCTCCCAACCACTTTGACATACATTGTTGACATTAGGATCTCATCTTTTTAGCTACCGTGTAGCAGAATATTTCCACATACAAAATATAATGACAGGAAACTAGGGCGGATAGATTTCAGACCAAATGATACTGGATTTCTCTATTAGTATTGGGGGAAAGGAAAAAAATAGGACTAGGGCCCACTCAGTAATCACAGAACTAATTTCTTCCTAGCTATGCCCAAAACTATGCTTCTTTCCAAAAATGTAACAGCATCCTGAATTCAAATTGTAAATACACCAGTACGTAACAGTGGAAGAGCTTCCTGCAGACTGACAACTTCTACAGCTGATCTAATCTGGCAATAAGTAGCATCAGTAGCTATTGCTGCTTAAGTGACTACACTCAGTTCTTCATGCAACTGGGAAAGATTCATCTTTCAAATACTCATAAAGAAGTCAAATTCCATCAAGGCTAAGGTCTCTGCCAAGAGAGATCTGTCTGCCCAAATCTCTCTTAATGCTTCCTCAAAAGTAATGACAGATGGGAAGATTTGTGCTCTTTTCCATTCCTGCATAATATGTCTGTTGTCATCCCCTTACACAGAACAAAGTGAGAGAACAAAGTACTATCTCTGTTTTAAAACCGGTAAATCAAAGTATGCAAAAGAAAGATGGCTTGCATTATGATACACAGATCAGAGGCTGAACCCAAAAATAAAACCCTGGCTGTCTCATTTCCAATTAAATGCTCCAGTTTAAGAGAAGGGATGCGGAAGCCTTTCTGTACTGTTTTACAGCACCTGTGTGCAACAGGGTTTGGCGGAATCTTGGATTCTTCCAAAATTTGTATCAAGAGGGAATGTATGGACCTACAAGTTGTTCCCCCTCTTCCATATCCACCCCTCATGATATGAGGGTGTGTGAAATTCAGGCTGCACAAGACAGAAGAGTTGCAGTGAGTGAGAGCAGAATGGATCAGAGTCCTGTGTAACACGACGGGGGTGTTAACAGGGTGGCTTTTGGGGGCAGAGAGGCTAGAGTCTGGCCTGTCCTATTCTTTATTCCAACTTTGACAAAAACATGTTTCTCATCACAGGAAGCCTGAGAAGAATTTGCCCCTGGGAATGACAGAAACTCCAGCTGGAAGAAGGCTCAGACAGGATTAGAGGCAAAACAAAAAGGTCAGGCTTTCATCTATGTGCAGTGGCACTTTCTGGTCTGAAGTATAAAAAGCAATTTTGCTATGGAAGTTTTCTGGAATGTCCATGACAAAAATGTGACTGAAGCTTACAGTCTGCTGTGGAGGTATCCTCAATATTTTAATCAAATTGTACTTGCATTTCTCTGGCAATATCTCAGGTCACCAGTACCACACAGTAGCCTCACCAGATGATACTACAGACTACAGTGGTTTCTGACTGAAGTACAGCACCCACAATGAAACTCAAGACGCTCATGCTGCCTGTTTGGAGATCTCTAATTCTGACTGCCTCCAAAAGATCCCCTCTTCCTCTGCTAAGAAAATACAAGTTTATGAAACATCTGTATTCATATTCCACCCCTTCAGTGCTTTGATGCTTTAATCTTCCTAAATCTTTGCTCCCTGTGGGGTCTCTCATTACTGTTCTGCAGAAGAACTACTGGCCAGCTGTGGTGAAAACCAGAGGTAGAAACAAAGCACCTAGCAACAAGTGTAACAAATCTAAGGAGGAAGAGAAACTGCATCAAGAAATCGCTCCTTCTATTTCTCTGAAAGTGGATGTCAGATCAGCAAGGCTTTTCTAATTAAGCAGAAATCCTGCAGCCACTGTGGATCAGCAAAATAAGTACATAAGAGATAGCATGTCTCAGTTGGGTTTGTCCTAATTTTCTTTCTAAAAGGAGCAACATTAACTTTCTTTTGTTTTCTTGGACACCAAGAAGCTTTCATGGCATTTACCCCAGAAGCAGATATATAAGTCTTTACTCCACTTGCATCTTATCTCTGCCACTTAGCACAATCAGAAACTTCACAGGAAGATTCAAGAACCCACGTGTCAGGCAATTACAGAGCAGCTGGCCTGTGGAGAAACAACTTACCCATAAGGATCTAGAACTAAAGTTGCAGGCCTTTAGCAAAAGGTTCCACCATTGCTGAAATGGTTCTACTTTGGGATCAAACAGCTATAACCAACTTCTAAACTGTCAAAAGATATAGAAGACATAAAAGAGGAGACTGGAAGTTGCTATCTCAGCAGGCTAATACTTGACCTCTGAAAGTCTAAAGATTTAAGATTTACTCTTAAATCTACACTTTATGTAACTGTGGACATTACAATTACCCATAGATTTTCCTCTCAAAATCCTGTTAATAAACTGGCCTCCATAATACTGGAGTTCGATCACACTGTCTGTAAAAGAACCCATCTCTTGTCAATCTTAAGTAGACTGTCTTTCAGCATTACTTAATGTGTTTCACTTGTCCACTGTGAACGAACAGAGGCACAGGTTTTAACTTGTGTATTTTGCAGACTTCTTTCCATCCCACCCTGAGATACCCCATCTCTAAAAAGAACTGCACTGAATTCTACAAAACAAATAGTGTAGAGATATCAGTGTCCTGAGAGAAGAGGATTAGATGCTGAACTGATGAATTTGCTAAAATACTATCTAAATTAAGAAATACTGCAAGCACAGAGTTACCCTCTACAGCTTCTGGAGAATATATTATTAGGACTTGTTGCAGTAGGGCTACCTGTTAGGGAGTTATCTTCCTTGAACTTTTATAAACTCATCCTGTTTGGACAGACTTTTCACATTCTGGACATCTAATGCTCTTATGTTATTGGAGTGCCAGAACTAGTCACCAAGAGGGCTACAATCCAATAGGCAATAACTGCTGGAAACTCTCCTCATTTCCGAGCCATCTCCCACACCCCTTCAAGACAGAACCGAGTGAAATCTCTCCTGCTCTCCCCAACCGTTCTTGGCTGAAACCTGGTCCAATTTCACCCTGTAAACACCTGATATGAACAGATGAACTGGGAGGGGCCAGAAAGATCTTCATAGCTTCAGAGGGGTGGAGGTAAACAGAAAAATAGTATATAAGATGCTTTGAGACAGACTTCTAAAGTGCATAGCCTCTGACAGGAGGGGTCTGAAAAAAAGCTACTTCTTCAGGCTCCACCTTCAGAGACTCACTTCATTGGAAGAAAGTTAGGTACCAGTCTGCTGTAGCACTTGCAGAAAATTTCATACCTACCCCAGCTGCATTCAAACTACCCGCAGTCAGCTGAAAGTTCTCTGTTGCTGTAAGCAAACATGCCAGCAAGATCCACTGCTCAGCTGGCATGGCTCTGCATTGTCACTCTGTCTGTGGCAATCTATCCAGCACTGCTGCAGAAGCCTCCTAAAAGGAGAACAATCAATGGGAATGCACAGTCCAAGATGACAGTCTGCTGTGATGAGATTAAGGAGCTCAAATTGCAAGTAGCCAACCTGAGCAGAATGCTGCAGGAGCTGAGCAAGAAGCAGGAAGGTGACTGGGTGAATGTGATCATGCAGGTGATGGAGCTGGAAGGGAGCACCAAGCAGATGGAGTCCCGCCTCATTGATGCTGAGAGCAAATACTCCGAAATGAACAACCAAATAGATATCATGCAACTCCAGGCAGCTCAGACGGTCACACAAACTTCAGCTGGTAAGGAGGGAGTCACCAAGCTCCCAAATACACCTCTTAATGGACAAAATGAACTAATGACTAGTTCTTAATGGTAGCATGTCCTACTAATGTGATTAGCAAGTATGTATAGTGAATACTTCTGCTTAAAGTACTTCTGTAAGCAGGTGATCCTGAGAAAACTAGTTTGAATTAATCTGTCAAAAGTCCAAAGATCCAGCTGTATTTTAATATCTGTAGGTTTGTCATCAGGGAGTGGAAAAACTGAACAGTTACTGTATTTGTACAGTGAGGGACTCAGCCTAATATTTCATTTTCTGAGCACTACAGTACCAATCCAAAAAGAAAGGGAGCTGGCTTTGTTAGGGAATGGCTCTGGCAGTAATATTTTCTGTGTTCACAGTGCTGACAGAGGACTAGAAGTTGGTAAAACAATTAGACATGCTCTCCAAGCATTAATGGAGATTTATAATTGTATCTTTATGACTATCTCTGAACTAGACTAAAAGAGTGATTCATTATTTGAATGATAATTCTCAAAAATTCAAGGCTGTAGATGGTGCAAGATGCAAACTGTGATATAAGCCTAGCCAGACCACAGTTCAATTGTTCAAAATTCTCTCCTCCCTGAGGGAAAATTTCACTGCACATAGTGATTGCACAGGCCTGTACTAAACAGGGAATGGAGGTGCATTTTGTAGGTCAGTTACCTGTAAAGCCACTTCTAGAAGAAAGCGTAACCTTTTTTGACTTTTCTCTTAAAATGAAATTCACTGCAACAAGCTTAAAACTTCCTTAAAAAGAAACTGCTGCTGTCTGGGATGACTGGGTTTGCCAAAAGCCTTCATTTGGACCTTTTTTTTTTTTTTTTTTTAATTCAAAGGAAAAACTTCTAAATCTATTTACTGAATTATTCTAAGAAAAAGTTCCACTTGGCTAGTTTTGGCACATCACTGTTTACAGTAGCTCTTAAACAAAAATTATACCATAACAAATGTCTTTGGAGCTGTAGTAAAGGTTTGGAAAAAATAATAACACACAGAAGAAACTGGCCCAGAAGGTATTTAAAACAGATGCATCTCACCTCACCAGGTAAGAGACATTTAGTCTGTACTAAATCAGAAACTGCCAGAATGGATAAAGCCTTGCCTCAGCTAGTTCATCCTCCTTAGAGGAACAGCCATGCATTTTACCATCTTCAGGTCAGCAACTACACCAGGAGGAAAGGAGGCTTGCAAGAGACTGACAGATGGACTGCAGCTAAAAGCCACCACCTCTGTCACGGGCTCTCGTGCCACAGGTGCTAAGCAAATATGCCTCATCCACAAACTTGGTTAGTCTGTTCAAGCACACCATCAAAACAGGCATCTGGCAGCAGGTCTAGCTATGCTGTTAGATAAGTCCATTATTATTTGGGGGGGACAGGATGGGACACAGCAAATATATACCTTTTTACCTTCCAGCACAGACACAGACAATGGCAATATGAAGAGAAAGCAGAGATGTCTCTTTGGATAGGAGAGGTAAAAAAAAAAAAAAAAACCAAACAAACAAAAAAAAACAAACAAAAAAAAAAAACCCAAAACAAAACAACAAAAAAAACCCCAAACAAGCAAACAAAAAAACAACCAACCAACCAACCAAAAAAACAAAAACAAAAACCCCAAACATCACAAAGTCCCAGCCAGTGCTACAACCTCTTTTTCCAATGCATGCATTGATCACAACTAAACCATTTCAGGAAAACATCAGACTTACAGGAAGCCATCTTCACTTAATTACTCCTTATATTACAAACTAAGCTTTACAGAAACCACACTTACAGGGGAGTTGTTCTTGCTGTTCAGATTCTTACTTTCTGGTTCTTATTCAAGTAGATGCTGTCTATGACTGTTCATCACTTTACCAGAAGAACTACCGAATTTCTGGTGTTTACAAGCTACCTCCTGATGAATTTTTGGGGAGTCCAGATCTGGAGGTAAGGATGTCAAGTACACAATGCATATTACAGGTCTTTTCAAATATAATCAAGAAATACCACAGAGATGAAAGGAGCGCATACTGAGCTATGATACCCTGCACTTTGAATCAGCATCTGTATGTGGGCAAAAACCTTAAGGAAGGAAGAAGTGTACCTTTAAGAGGGAAAACAGAAAAAGGGTCCATTTATTAAATTTCTTCCATGGCTTTTAAAAAAAAATAGGAATTTCTTCAAGTTGTGAAATCTGGAACAATGTCTTGTCTTGTGTTAAGAGAACTGAACCTTCCTAAGTCTACTGACAAGTTAACACTGCCTTTTTTTCCTGTTGTAGGTGTTCTGTGACATGGAAACAGATGGAGGTGGCTGGACTGTCATCCAAAGACGTAAAGTCGGTCTGACATCTTTCAATAGGGACTGGAAACAGTACAGGGAAGGATTTGGCAATATTCGGGGAGATTTTTGGCTGGGAAATGAAAATATCTACCGACTTTCAAGACGCCCCACTGTTCTGCGAGTGGAATTGGAGGTAATTAATAAGCTCTTAATTTCAGCAGCCAAAGTTTTTTTTGTACAAAGTGATTCTCTAGTAGCAGATATCATCTCCTATCTATATAGGAGACCCAAAGAATTTGCATGCTTTAATTAAAGGAGGAGGAGATAGGATAGACCTAGTGGTACATTCAAGGACAAGACAGAATTATGTTCTCCACCCTGCAAAGTCAGCAGGACAACCTTATCTCTGCATATAGATTATGTCTTAGGGAACATGTGGGGCTCTGGAGAATCCTGTGGAACCCACTGCATACAGAGATCTAACTGTTGAACACCTCAGACTTCAAGATTCACAGAGAGTTTTAAAGTTTTAAGGACTCCGAGTCTTTTCCTTTTACAGCACTTCCTTCCAGCCTGTGTACAAAAGAGTTTGCATTGTATTACCCCAAAACAATTTCTACAGTCTACAAAAGGCTTGATCTAGGCTAGTTTATAGCTGGTACAATAGCTTTGAGGGATGGGATATGTATAACAGAAAAAGTGAGCTGAAAGGCTTTATATCTAAAAGTCACTGTTTCAGAGAGGAACAAAAAAATTACTTGAGGCAGCACACTGAGACAAGGATGTTGAATGCAAGAGCTGTGCACCAGGTTTCCATACATATTGCTTAATACCAGCGCAGACAAGACTTGGAAATATGATGCTTTGCTCTGGAAAGTTTCTTTGCCTTAGCAGATAAGTTTCTGCAGTCTGAAATGGAAAAAAAAAAAGGTGAAAAATCTAAGACTGAGAAAGAATACACAACATGCACTGTATATAACTACAGATGGGAGAGTTTTTTCATAACTACTCTAATAGGATCTATTTCTTCTTCATTGTTCTGTGGCAGGACTGGGAAGGTAACATACGCTATGCGCAATATAAGCAATTCACCCTGAGCAATGAAATAAATAGCTATCGTCTTTTTGTGGGAAACTACAGTGGCAACACAGGGCGTGACTCCCTAAGGTACCACAACAACACAGCCTTCAGCACAAAGGACAAGGACAATGACAAGTGTGTGGATGATTGTGCCCAGTTCCGTAAAGGTAAAACACACATAAACACCTCCCTGTACTGAAAGAGCTGCCTGAGTAGTTTGTAGAGACCTCAAGACTTCCTCTTTCCAAGTAACTAATAAGTAGCATCTGGGTGGCAAATCGAGGGAGAGGTGACCAATTCTGGAAAACACACCCATTGTGGGATACCTGGCAGTTAAGCCTGATTTACACAGAGCCAGACTGTACGTTATAGACGTCAGTACTCTTCAGATGATGTCGTGTGTGCTCTCACCTACACATACTGTTACCCAGCCCGTTATACATATCTGCCAATCCACCAGACTATCTCAGATGTTCATGCAATTTAGTGATCCAGGAAGATACTCCTGTGTATCTATAAGGTTTTTACTGTTTCTTATATTTTTATGAAGTTTCTAGTTCTGGTATTAGCAACTTGTACTTATTGTCCTGTATTATTATCCTACATGCACCTCAAGGTTCAACTGGAATTCTAATCTTTATTCCTACTCTATTAAGAACCTCTAAATGAGGTTACTCTCTTCATTCAATTTATCTTTACGTGAGGTCTGTCACAAAGATAATTGTCTTCACTGCATCTTGCTCTTTATTTTTCATTTCCCCATTACGCCCCCATGTGACATCCAAATAAAACTGTTGTATCAGTAAAATAGTGCAGCTTACTTGCAGAGTCTAGAAGCCTTTTAAATGCTTTAAGATGCCCAAACTAAGAACCCAAATTTGTTTCCTATGCTAACTCTCAGAGACAGGAACACATCAAGAAAATATTAAGAGGAATGAGCAAACTAAATTAAAACCTATGGGGCTAATTTGACTATGTAATTGTAAAGCCTTTATGTATTTAGTATCTATGTTAATATTTTAATTTACCTGCAATCCCAGCTATTAGGGCCATAGGCTCCAGGGATGAAATGATGCACTGTGGTCACTCTCCTCAGGAAAGAGCAATAGTTCTTAACACAAAACATACCTGTTATAAGTAAATGGCTCACCAGAAATCTATTAATTTGTTTTCTGAAAAGGTGGATATTGGTACAACTGCTGCACAGATTCCAATCTGAATGGGGTTTACTACCGCAAAGGAGAACACACCAAGAATATGGATGGCATCACCTGGTATGGATGGCATGGATCAACCTATTCATTGAAGCGAGTTGAGATGAAGATCCGGCCAGAGGATTTCAAACCATAGAGGGAACCAATATTTGATTGTACAGCTACATGATGCCACTGCACAGAAGGTGGGCAATGGACAGATCAAAATCAGCCAAATAATTGCTCATTTCATCTATGCACAACAGCTACATACTGGCTACGTACACACACAAATGCTAAGGTACACTAAGCACCAGCCACAGCCACTAGTGTTATCAGGGCTCAAACTTATTTCCTCCTCTTATGGCTCTTTCCAAAGGGAAAAATACTGTGTTAGAGTAGGTTAGAACAGAATGCACTTACAGCACCTTCAGAAAATCTACTGGTGTTTTCACTAGCATTGTGACTTGATATTAACCAGCCAGGCAGGGACTAGAAAACGAAACCCTCCTTGTTGCCTTTCCTTCAGTGTCAAGAGTAAGCATTGCTGAGTAACTCCTTCCAAGAGGGACTCAAATAACAAAAACTACATACTCATTTCAAACCAAACCAGAGGAATCGGTGAGAAGCACCCCTAATGCACCTTTCTTTAGCGTATAATAAGTGGCTTACATTCTCACAGAGGAAAAAAAATGAAGTTCAAAAATTTTGGATGAATTAGTATTGCCCAGGTTCTCTCATGAAGTTTTACTGCCATCTCCTGCTACTGTCTCAAATAAGTCCCCACAGGGCTGCACCCAGGAGATAGTAACCCTGGAGGAAGGCTCTGTCCCATATGCTCTGTGATGCTTATTCATATCCACAGACCACCTAAAGATTGATAAACCAGAAAGCAACTTTCTGGGCTGCCACAAAATTATGTTCAGGTTAGAACATAAATGTGCTGTATGTCAGTAAGGCTAAGAGGGAACCACAGGTTAGGAAAAAAAAAAAATACAGACCCAACCACCCAGCCAGAAGACTCAACTCCAACACTTAAAATCACTGTATTCATAAGCAAAGACATTAGTACACACCAGATAATCCATAAGTGTCAAAAGTTATTCAAACATAAGGCAATGTTTGCTAGCATACCATGCTGAGGAATATTAAAATCTGTTCTGAAGACTACCCCAATTACAAGTTACCAAGAGATGTTATGTCAAAAATCAGTACGCCTCTCCCTTACATAACACAGTGTTAAAAAATAACAGTTAAAGAGACTCCTCCTGTAGCCATACCGCTGTTTGGATATGTTGGAAAAGATAGCTATAGTTAATATATGTATTTTTTTTCACCTTAAAGAGAGCTTGAGTCTAATTTAAATTGTTCATTCTTGTGTGAAATGGAAGAGAAAGGTGTCTCGGGAATTGTCTTACATATGTTTGACTATTCATACTGTAAATTTCAACTGTGTGGAACTATAGTTGCAACTATTTTAACTGTGGTCTATAAAATGGATTTTTAAAGATTTCTAAACTTTTTCTTTTCTAATAAATTGTCTTTCATTTTTAATCTTGATTTACTTTGAGTCTTTGCTCCTTAACTTACTTTTTGATACACAAAAGAAACAGCTACACAAGAGATTGTGGCCAAGAAAGGGAATACACTGAATTCTGTATTTTCCTCAGAAAAACAAAAAGAGGACAAAGGATGAATGAATGAATGAAAGAGGGGAAAAAACAGGAAAGCACAACTCCAAGGAAGTAAGAGGGCTGAAAAATTCACTGCATAGAGACAAAGCTAAGTTTTTGCTCAACCAAAATCAATTTGTCCATCTCAAATGGCAGAGTTAACATTTCTGTGATACGAAACTGAGATTCACATTTTAAAACATATAGTTTAGTACCAAATTCTGTGCAGGTATTTCAGGCTAACATCCATCTTGTTGACAAAGCTCAGGAAACAACACACTCTTGTTGTAAAATCTTCTGTTTGACATATGAAGAATGAGGCCTACCTAAGCTAGATGAGTAGTATTTGATGAGAAATTTTAATTAAGAACTTCAGCTTTTCTGGCTTATTTATATGTAGGTGTAGAAATCTCTCTCACCTAATTTACCGCCACTCTACAACATCCCATACTGAACTTGAAGGGTAGGAGGTAGAAATCAGAAGACTCCACTTTTTCCTGCACAACTTTCCACAGCTTCTATCATAAATTTAACCACATAATAGAAAGGCAGAACTCAGCACCTAGGAGCGTGCATTTGTAAGCTAGTTACTAAGCCCACAGCAAAGTGTTGTGGCAGCGAGTGAAATCCTAAGAATTGTCTAGATTCACCTTAATGGCATCCTAAATTGGGTACCGATGCAAGAGCAGAAATCTCAGCTGTGGTCCTACCTGATGAGAGATTCTAGAATGGCTGGGGTGGGACCCTTTTGAAATTCCAGCTCCTTGTAGTGAAGGGCCTTGGCATACGCTCGACATTTTGCAGCTCTTTCTCCCAGGAGGACAATGCCATTATCATCTCTCAAAGGCAGTGGACCCTGGGTAGAAGGACATACATCAAAAACAGGATGAGTATAACAAAAGAAAAAAGTCTGCATGAACTCTTCACACCCTTTCCATAGAGTAGACATCAGCCAGCTAGCCAGCATTAGGAAAGAGTTGCCTAACAGCATCTCTACCTTGTCACTGTGTTCCATGAATTCTGCCAAGTTCAGCAGTGTCTGAGTGACTTCTGCAATGTCCTGAGAAGTCAGGGCCAATTCAATGCTTCGGATCAGCTCATCCTGCTGGTCTTCATTCAGTTCAGACCAGCATGAAACAAAAGCAGCATTGAAGAGGTCTCTGAGGAAGAAAACAAGAGTGAGAGGTGGGGATTCATTATTCATGAGAAAAAGTCTACTTGACAGTGGACTTGCCTTCATATCCAGAGAAACAGAGCTACAAAATGCATTTATATGCCTACCGGCAACAAATAATGATTAGTTTTTATAAAGCTAACTTCAGTACCAAATACTTAGTGAAACCTGAATTTTAAAAATATGTAATAGGATGATATACTACAATAGTAGAAACTGTACTACCATATGCTAGCAAGTATTTTAAGCTAAAACAAACTCTTCATAGCAGCAAGGATGCTCTTCTCTTCCGCTATAAAAAAACAGGCCTAGTCTGTCTTAGATCACAAGCAAATATAGTGAAAAAAATCATTGTACATTTCTCTGGACACACATGATACAACACTCGTGTCTTCTGTGCTCACTAGTGGACTGCAAAAGCTGGAGTTTGTTTTAGTGGCAAAGCTTGAGAAAGAGGAAAGGTGATGAAAACCAGATATGGTGCCAGCCCTTGTCACTGCTAGTACTGTGGCGAAATACTGCGGGGTGGGTTTGAGATGCATGGAACATACGTGGAGGACACCAGCATTACCTCTGCCTACCTAGGAACTTTCATCATGTTGTTTGTCCTTCTATTTCAAAAGTTATAAAACTCACATTAAGACAAAATTAAACCAGGAATGAACACTCTTCAAACAGCAGTAGTCAGATTCATATGGACTGAGACAACCAGTGTATATCATGGAGATAGACAGGCAACTGCTTACAGGAACTCACAAGTTCCTCCAGACATACTGGTTACGAAAGAAATAAAGCACTGCTGCTTATTCTACTCAGAGGCATTTTTATTCACCCACAGTAGATCCTCAAAACTATTTCATGCTCTGCTGTTTTTCCAGCTTCACTTTTATGTGCCTTATGTTATTTGTAGACTAACATGCAAAATTCCACTGAAAGATTTTGTGCACATCACGGAGCAGCCAACTGGGAAGGGTGGAAACGAAATCAAGTTGCCAGCTATTTGATTTGTCCCATAGAAGGAACTATCTATTTATGGAACCTAGGAGCTTTTAAGTAACTTTTTCTACTTATAATATCTGGTTTGCATCTGCAATCTCAAGTGATCTGAAAAAAACAGAATTACTCTACCGAGCCATGGGATTATATGCCTGAGCCAAGGCCCAGCATGAGCGCAAGGATGGTGAGGAAGAATCTTTCAGCAGCTCCAAACTCAGTCTTCTTAACCATTCCAACCAGTCGTCTTTGGAAACTCTTCTTGCTGCTCCCCAGGCCTGAGGTACAAAGCAAGACAATTCAACTACCAAACAAAGTGCTATCCAAAAGCAGAAGAAATCCATCAGTAGGCAGCATTACTACTTTACAGCTCCAAATCACATTGTTGAGATTCCCTTCTCAATTCCCCGCAATCCATTACCTTTACCAGATAATTTGCAGTACTTCAGTTTCATTTCTAAGAAATCTTCCCAAAATATATTCCTATCATGAATTGCCAAGTATTTGAATAATTTGAATAATTTGTATTTGAATAATTCTTCCCTTACAAAAATACATCATGAACTGAAGCCACCGTTGAAACATCAGCTTAAAAATACTTAATGTGTTTATAATTACATTTTTAAGTCAAGCATTTTCAAACCCACCTATCCCACTACTGAACTGAGTGCTACATGCATTTACTGATCAAATTAGCCAGTACTTAGCTATTAAGTTCTACACTGGCTTCAAGAGAATATAGCACTATGATATAAGAGAAGTGGCTGATTAAAAAAGGCACAGGCTCTGAAATAGATGTCTCTAGAAGCTACAGATGATTCCTTACAATCTAGGAAGTCTTGTTCATACTTCACATAACAAGAAAGCGTCAATATTACCTCACAGCCATTAATAGTGATAATTCAGTTGCTCCTATCTTTAAAGTTGCTTAACACCTAATTTTAAAGAAAGTCTCAGACGCTACTTTGACCTCAGTTTTGTACAGAACTGACAACAGCAAAGAGATGTAAATAAATGTAGTTTACATGCCCTGGACAAACTCCTTAGATGAGCGGCACACAGTAGCTCCTCCCTTCAGCAGCAAACTCATGCTGTGCAGCACTCCAGCCTTACCTTCTGCAGGTTGATGGTGCTAACATGTAATTTCTTCATGGGACCTGTTTCCACAGGACCACTGGCCAAAGTTTCTCCCTGGTTGCTTCTCAACATTCGGTGCTGATAAATCAGGGGATCCTCCTCTTCATCAGCAAGAGTATAGCCCTACAATAAGTGGCTTACAATGAAGATCACACCCACACATATAAAAATAACTTTCTACAAGCCAAACGGATGATAAAGACGGAGCACTATTCAATCTCACAGTAAAATTTGTGAATCAAACAACTGTGTTTCATTATAATGATTACACCTCAAACGAGAGAACTTGAATGATATCCCTTTCCTACTCAAGATAACTGGTAAGAAGTCTTAGCTCCTAGCATTAAAAGCCAAACTAATACACCTTAAAACAAGCACTCTTTCCTATCTGGCTCACTAGTAAGCCTAAACCAGCAGTGCATTA